CAATTGTTCACTTATTCTTTTTATTTGGGTTTTTGTTGTTGTTAGTACCCATATTTACATGCAATCTTTCTTTTTCAACGCCACATTGTCACCATGTAAGTAGGCTTTTGGTGAAGATTTTGGTTTCAATTGTTCACTATTCTTGAAAATTGGCATTATATTTGATATTGTTTTCATCCCTTTTCTACTTGGGTTTGTTTTGTTTGTTATTTATATAGTTTAAAATTTCCATTTGCTGGTTTGGTCTGAGTCATGGTTTTCATCTTTGTCATGGATTCCTAATTTCTTGCATTTCAGTGTTCTTGGAGTACCGTTATTAATAGTTGCTGAATTTTGAGCTTGTGATTTCTTTCCAACTAATAAATTGCATATAGAGTTTTTTGGGTTTTGCTTAGTGTCTTCTTTTAAAAAGAAAGATGGGAAATGATTTTGCCCTCTTTCTGTACATCATTTGGTTCAGGACACGTCAAAAAATGTTAAATGAAAATAAATTCTAAGCTTACCAACAAAACCATCTCTAAAGGAGACAATTCTCTGAACTATCTCACAGAAAATACAAGCATTTATACAAAAGACAACATTATAAAGAAAAACTCCCAAAAGACTGGTCTGAAAATTTTTTTATCAGCTCTTCATCATGTGAATAACGCAAGGGAGAACATTGGAGCTCAACATCAAAATGAATCTTCAAAATAAAAAATCAATATGAATTGGATGCAAAGAAGAACACTTTTGGATAAATGGACAACAGGTTCACATTTTTGTCGGACGAGGTTATACCTGTCCATGATAAAAGTTGAATTTGATCAAATTTTGTAATTCAACAAAATTTTCTCTTATTATCAGAAAATCTTAGCTTATCTTCTTCATCGTATGGTCTACATAAAAGGCCCCCTGAAGGCATCCTAACTATCTTTTCGTTGACATAATACTTAGCTGATGCATGTTTTCCTTGGAAATGCATCTCATTATTTTAACAGCTTCTGAAACTTTTTGGTCATAGGACAAAAAAGAAACAAATTTTTAACACTCTCTGGTTTCTGTCTAAAACAAATTTTTAAATCTGGTTTCTAACTAAATTGTTTTTACTTGTAATGCATCTATTAACTATATCCTGGCAAATGACAAACTTGCAAAGTAGTACAGCAGTTCTGAATTTAAGGTCATGCCTCCATGATTTAAAAATCTATACAAATAATTCACTAAAAATAACCGCTCATCAACGAGCTCTCAGGTGACCTGACAATGCCATAGCAATTCCATAAGCTGATCAAAATCATTCTCCAAACTCCCATGAATTTTCCTGCTGAAACCAGTCCTCCATCAATTTCCAAATGATTCGACTTTAAATTCTGATCTCAGTCTATTTTAAACATTTTTTGAATTAAAGTGCTTAAAGAACTATGTGCACTCCATATATCCTGCAAGAAACCAACTCATTCTGCAATTCACACTCTAAATTTCAACCTACATTTGCAATGAAGTTTTCTAAAACTAGGTTAAAAGAACACACTTATCGAGCTATGTAATATCTTCAGAATCATTAGCACACATAAAATTCTCTCTTTCTTTCAGTGCTTTAGTATCTTGCATAATACCATTTTCATGATCTTTTACTTTGTTTATTCAGAATAATCTGTAATATCTTGAGTTAAGCAGGCTCATCTTTTTTTCTCATGCCTTTAAGAAAGATCAGCATCTTTGTCTTCACCCATGCTAGCTTGATGTTTCGTTTTATCCTTTAGTCTGCTTGGTCTCTAGTAATTTTCCAAAAGTAAGTCTGCATTGGTGATGTCTACCTATTTCTTTGTTTGTTTACTTCGAAAGGCAAAGAGAACGGATCATTACTTGGGTTTTAATGGATTTCCTAAAGCTTTAGGCATTGTTGCTTTTGATGGCTTTCAATTGGTTAAATCTTAAGTGCTTCCTGATATTGCCATTTAAAAACTGACCTTTGGTTTTTATTATTCAGTATTCTTGATGTCTGCATTTTGAACTTTCATTGAGCTTGCTTGTTTCTTTCTGTTGAACTTTTTCTTTATTTTTTGGTTTGCCCACACAATTCAAATTGCATGTGATGAAGGGATGCTTTGGTTGCTTTAAATCTATTCTTCTTGTATTTTTCATTCACCATTATGTTTAATTCTCTGGTGTCATTTGGCTTGCTCTTCTGATGGTTATAAAAAGGAATATCAATATTTTTTTTTTTCAGCACTGACTGGAATTTTATGAAGATGGTTTAAATTCTCTCAATTTACCAGAAGCCAATGACTTGTTACCTTTTCTATATCAGAAAAGGGAAGAGGATTTGGATAATTACTTCCGGACTGGATATATGGTGTTTAATTCCTGTGGTACACTGTGCATATTACTACAGGTTGTTTATTTCTAGGTTATGTGTTTGTTGCAAGTGCTTTGAATTACATCATAGTATAATGCTACAAATCTTGGGTCTTATGGAACAGGAAATTGTAGGTTTTTACAAGAAGATGGAAGATGAAAAACTCGATTCAAGAAGCATAAAGCGTCTTATTAATGTTCTCACTCTTTTCCAGGTCAGATTTCCTGCCCCCGTGATAGATTATTTTTCTGTTGCCTCAAATTTAGTGCAGTTATTAAGCAGATTTTGCTCTTTGCAGAGTGTTGCTGCTAACAACGAAACCAGGCAAAGATTTATAGATGGTAAACCTTTGGTCTGTTGTACAAAATAAAATAATGGGCTCTGCATTTTACATTAATTATTGCTATCATACAGATTCCAAACTGGATAAGTGGATAACGTATCCCATTTGGATGGTGAACACTTGAATTTAATGAATTGCTATTGAAGACTTGTGAACTGTTATTTTCTTATATTCTATCTTTCTTTTACCATCTCTGCATCATAAAATCATCAATTTGGACTATTTTGTGATCAACTTTCTAATTCCTCTTTTTCCAATGAGATAAATAATTTTGTATCATTATTTCAGTAAATACATCTTTAATTTTATGCAAGCATATATTCATCCTTATGGGAAATGGCTACTACAGTTCTTTATCTTTTGCCAAAAATATCAAAGTTTGTTAGTCGAAGATGTCAACTATTTCATGCAAAAAACTGTGATCCTTGAAATTTCAAGTATTTGTGGCTTATCTGCTAAATTTAAGCTTCAAGTAATTTTCAGGTTCAACTATGAGAACTTGTTGGCTTTCAGTTTATAATAATTTAACAGACTTCAACAGTTTCCTGATTTATCTTGAACCTATCACAAATGACAACATTAATCCTGCGGTCTTTTGGTTGATTTTCTACTTGTTGTTACATGTACATTTTGCCCCCTTCCCACCCCCCCAACTTTTTATTTTCTTTTTTTATTAGTGCAGAAACATTTCTTGAACTCAATTATAACCAAATATGTTCTTTATCTACTTGTTCCAGCCTGTGGTCCAAACTTTTTGGTACCCTTGATACTTTTTAAGAGCGCAAATGAGGTGTTTGAAGATGTCCGTACGATTGCTCTTTCAGTGTTTGGAATCTTGTGCCAGGTCCTTCATTTTTTAATTATCTGTGCAACACATTAGTAATGGTACAATAGCCTGAACAAAATTTTGTTTGAAGGGTAGAGAATCGAGGATTATAAAGTGGGCTATTGAGAACGACATAATAGAAGTATGTCATTGCATTTTGGAGAATGGAAGTGAGCTTAGTAAAGTGGTATGCCCCTTATAATAATTCTGCATTTTCGGCTAATTTTTCTTTTTATGTCCTATAGATTATGCTTCATTGTTCTGCACCTTCACTCTATCCTTTGGTTTCCTGCCAACGAAGATCATCTAGTTTT